TGATTTTTCAGATTAGCCCCCCCCCCCCATTCTGCACATGTATTCCTGATAAAATTAAACTAGGTGAAGGTATGAATGTTTATAAATTTCAAGTGATGGTTGAAAACAACTTTACCAATCACAACGCTTGTAGGGGACATACACGACAGTAAAACTGTCGGGGATTGAAGGAAAGACTTGTGGGTAACTTGCATTAACAAATTGCTTCCATAAGCTGATGAAAATGAAGTTCGAGGTTATTCAAGGATATATGTTTATAAAGAAGTTTATAAATTTCCATAAAAGAAAAACATTTTTTTTGTCTTTTATAATTTTTTTTTTATTCATATATTTTCCAAAAAAATACATCAAAATAATCTAACATTAATGAAATTCATTCTTTCCATTTACAGGATTATAGCATTATCTTAATTTTCTAATTTCTTTTATGCACTTCTAGACACAATGTTAATGAGGAAAAAAGTTTATAAGGTCACAGTTCAGCTCAATTCTGTGGACAGCTAAGGGACGACGTCAAAATATCGATGTCGGATAAAAAACTTAATTCATTCATTTTTTTTTCAAAACCCCCCACCCCCACTGAAACTTAATTGATAAATATTGATCATGGCGTCAGACTACATTCACCATTAAATACAAATTGATAATCAGACAGTAGTATCATGGCATAGCAGTTGGTTGTCGGGTGGGTGTAAAAGGAGTTTACAAATGCACCTCATTTGACGCACATATTTACACTCGTACCAAACCATTATCTCGTCTTGGATGTTTTTTTTGTTTTGTTTTTTCATTTTCTGTTATTTCTGTCCATGATTGGATAGAAAAAAATTGAACTACAAATACTCCAAGATTTTTTTGACTTCATTAAATAATAAAATCGTTTTTGTAGGATGGAAACTTTTTGAGGTCAAAACCCCCCACCCCCAAACTGAAGCAAACAAGTTTTTTATCAGACATCGATCTTTTGACGTCATCCCTAAAAGGGACAAAAGTCACAATTTGACCTTTTGACCCCTGACCTCCATTTAGCCCTTGTTTTTCACCATTAGATATGTACAAACTAGTGATGTGACAGAGTATCTATGATTCTGGGGAGTTTAAAAAAAATCCATGGTTATAAATGTTTGTTGACCTCTATGCATTGTAATTACATTGTACAAGTTTTTGACTATTGCTGGTAATTTCAAAGATTATACAATCGGGTCTTGTTGTGCTGCATTACGTGAACCATTAGAAATTAACGCAAAGGAAAATTGCCGCCAGGGTATTCATTCTTTTCAACAAAAGCCGCCAGCAAGAGAAACCCCCTAGGCTATATGGCGCAATTATTTTGCCGGCTACTTTGTAAATTTGAACAGAGAAATGCGCGATATTTAAATTAAAGTGAGCGTGTACTGTTTCCAGTCATGTCATCATACTCGGTGGGAAACCTGGGATAGGTCTACAAAGTTCGCAGCCTTACGAGAAACCGCCCTCTGAGAAGAAATTGCCAGCACACTTAATGGTTGGCATATTTTGTATACCCAGACCAAGGAGGCTTTGGGGAGCCGATTTAGCGTATAAACTCAGACACTATGTGATCCATGTCTGACGTGCATTTGAACCTTGATCGATAACACTCAATGTTGTTGTTTCATTTTTTTTTTCTGGGGTGTCCCTGCTGTGCATTCTGGGTAAACCCTCTAACTG